TCTTTTTTTGAATTTAAATTTCTTACTTTTTTTTTTCTTCTTTTCTTAGGTGAAAAGCGAGAATTGAACTCGCATTACTAAATTCACTGGTCAGCGTTTTAACCATTTAAACTATATTCACCTTATAACACTCTATAGGAATTGAACCTATATTTATAATTTCGAAGATTATTACTTTAACCAATTAAGTTAAGAGTGTAAATAAAATATATCAGGGAAAAAAGGAATTGAACCTTTAAAATTAGTTTTGGAGACTAATATTTTACCAATTAAATTATTTCCCTTTATAATTAAATAAATAAATTTATATATGAATAACAGAATTAATTTTTTTTATTAAATATTTGTAAAATTTAATATACCTTTACTTAATTCATAAATAAATCCTATAGTTAATACTAATATAAATATAGTACCTATCCAAAAACCAAATAAAGATATATTATATAAAACAGAAGCAAAAGGAAATAAAAATATAACTTCTATATCAAATATTAAAAATAATATTGCAACTAAATAAAATTGTATATTAAATTTTTCTCTAGCTGTACCTATAGTATCCATACCACATTCATAAGGTGATAATTTTGAAAAATCTGGTTTATTAACTGGTATTATAAGATTAATTATTAATAAAATTGTTAATATAATAGGTGTTAATATTATAAATAATAATAATGTATTCATTCTTTTTTTTTTTTTTTAATTTTTTTTTTAAATTAACTATAGTTTTTCGGATAAGCAAGAATCGAACTTACAATCTTCTAATCCCAAATTAGAGGCGTTACCTATTACGCTATTATCCGTTTACGGGTAGAATGGGATTTGAACCCATGAAAGTAAATTTAAACTTTTCTTCATTTCAAGTGAAGCACCTTAAACCAGCTCAGTCATCTACCCTAATATAAGAATTATAAAGCAAATTGAGGGAGTAAAGGAGTTTGTATAGTAAGAGGATTTTTACCAACGGGCGTATCTGTAGGAAGTATAATATTAATTGTACCTCTTAATCGATGATAAGCAACTAATATAGATAAAGCAATAGCAGATTCAGCAGCAGCAATAGATATTATATATAAACCAAATATTTGAGCTAACATATCATCATGAAGAATAGAAAAATAAAGAACTAAAATAGTAATAGCTAATAATATAATTTCTATAGAAATCAAAACTAAAAGATAATGTTTTCTATTTAAAATAATACCATAAATACCTATTAAAAATAATAAGAAAGCTAATTTCATAAATTAAAAATTTATATAGGAAAATATAATCCTTTTGTTTAATTTTTAACGGAAAAAAGGGGATTCGAACCCCCAAGCATCTAACAGATGCGCAGTTTAGCAAACTATTGCCATACCATTAGGCGATTTTTCCTTTAATTAGCTGCTGATAGGCATATCTGCGGATAGGCCCCCCTACAATGGCCGGTTATCGGCTAATAATAATTTATACTAAACTAAGCCGTAGCTCTGAATTGAACAGAGATTAGAATCATTAACAGTGATTTGCTTTACCATTAAGCTACTACAGCAATTTAATGCCTCGAGGATGACTCGAACATCCTACCCGGAATTTTCAGTTCCGTACTTTAACCTGTTAAGCTATCAAGGCATAAATTGAGAGTATTGGGACTTGAACCCAAACTAAGCAAATTAAAAGTTTGTTACTCTACCAATTAAGTTATACTCCCTATTATAATTAAAATTTAGCGAATAGGCCTCAGGGCTGCATTGGCGGTCCTTCGGTTCCAAGAGGCTTATCAAAATATAAAATAAATATTTTGATTAGATTAGAGAGTGAATTGAACACTCATAATCAAGTTTGCAGCTTGATACTTTACCGTTAAGTTATCTAATCTTTTTATGAAATCGAATGGAATTGAACCAATATTTTTTGCTTATCAAGCAAACACTTTTACCTTTAAGTTACGATTCCTTTATAAAAAATTATGATCTCAGTCCGATTCGAACGAACATAATAGCAGTGAAGGTGCCATATCCTACCTTTAGATGATGAGATCGAAAATATTATACGGAATATCTAAAGATATTCGGATATGCGAGTGACTGATTCGAACAGTCTCCTTAAGATCATGAGTCTTATATGCTCCAAAAACACTTACTCGCATTAAAATTTTTATTTTGAGGAGAGTAAGATTTGAACTTACATCTTTCCTGTTATGAGCAGTTGGCTTTACCATTAAGCTATCTCCTCTTTTATTATTTTTTTTTGAGAAGACTGGGATTCGAACCCAGAATGGCCAAAACCGTCACCTTTACAGGGTGATTGCAATACCAAAATGCTTTCTTCTCTTTATTACCTACTGAGGGATTCGAACCCTCACACACAAAGTGTAAACAATTTTAAGTTGTTTGAGTCTACCAATTTCTCCAAGTAGGTATAATAAAATAAGCCAGATACGGAATTTGAATCCATATAATATAATTTACAAAATTATTGCTTTACCAATTAAGCTAATCTGACTTCTATTTTATATTAAAAAATATAATTATATATAATAAATTATAATAATTTAAAAAATTAATTTATTAAAATAAAAAAAATAAATAATAATAAAAATATAAATAGAAAAAATGTAAGAAAGAATTCAACATAAAATAATAAAAATAAAGGAAATAAAAAAATATAAAAGAGATATAAAAAATTAAAGAAATATAAATGATAAATAAATTAAAAGAGATATTAATAAAAAAATAAAGATTGAAGAATTTATAGAATTAATAAATAATGAGTGTAAAATAGAAAAAATGTTAGAAAAATCCAAAATTTATATATAAATTTTAATATTAATTATAAAGATAAAACTGAATATAAAAAAAATAAAAATATAAGTAATAATAATGATAAAAATAATTGGTTTTATAAAGTAAATAAAATAAAAAAATTATATAATTTAATTGATATAATATAAAATTTAATTTAAAAAATAATTGATTTTATAATAAAAATATAACAAATATATAATAATATACCTTCTTTTTTTTTTTAATTTGAATATCTATATATATTCCGTTTAAATTTATTAAAATATATTTTTATTAATATTTAAAATCCAAATTTATTAATTAATAATAGGATTAATATAATAAGGAATGTTAATATATAACATATTTTAAGTGAATAAAAAAATAAACTAAAAATAAAAGATTAACAACGTATAATAAATCGATACAATGTAATAATTAATATTATAAGAAATAGATAAATTTTTATGGAAAATAAAATAAGAAATAATACAGCTAAAATAAAAAATATTATACGAAATGGTGTGATAAGGTAAAATGATATTATAAATAATTAAAATAAAATTTCATAACACAATATGATCATAAGAAATACTCAAAATATTATTTATTAATAATCCATTAAATAATATAAGAGAATTATTAATAAATAATATTAACCAAAGAATTACAAATAATATTTTTATAAATAATAATAATTCTACTTCAATTATAATTGATAATAATTATATTATCAATAAATATGATAAAGAAAATATAACTAGAACTTCAACAGAAATAAATGAATAAAATAATATAAATAAATGAAATAAAGAATAAAATAAGATTAATAATGAATATTTAATTAAAAAAAATGAAATATTATTAATAAATTAAAATAAAGAACCAAAAATTATATATAATTTTTGGTTGTTATAAGAATAATATATCTGACATAGCTTATAAATCAAAATTGAAAATGATTCTTAAAGCATATTCAATGAGAATAAATAATGGTATTAGTATAAATAATTTTATATCTCAAAATAAACAAGATAATTCCGTTATTTTAATAAAATAACAAATATCATAAAATCAATGGATTATAAAGATATTTCCTAATTTTTATTATTATGTAAAATAGCAATATATAAAAAAAATCATAACTTTTATGATGAAATAATTGAAATAATAAGTAAAAAATAATATTTTATATTATTATTTTAAAATACTAATAAAATAAAAATTAACTCATACAAATTTTTTTAATAATATCTAAAAATATTATCATTTAACAAATTTAGAATTATATTTTTACTAAATATATAATTTATAATTAAAATATATTAACATATTATATATAGCATTAGCTATTTCTTTTAAATCAATATTACCTATAGGTGATAAGTTAGGGATCATTACTTTTTTATTATCAATTATTATATATTTTATATCTCTTTCTTCATAAATAGTAGTATAACCGTTATTTTATTAAAATAACGGAATTATGTAATTTATTTAAATATTTATTATCAGAATATATTTTAATAAATGTATTTTTAACTATTTCATTCTCGTTAACGAGCTACATTATTTATTGTTATACCTACAAAAGTCATATATAGTAAAAATAGGAATATTATACCTAAAATAAATAAATGTACAGTATTAGCATCAATAGAATGAACATGATTAGGCATAAAAGATTGGATTTGTTTAATTTTATTTAATTCATTAGTAAGTATTGATAAACTAATATCTTTTTATTTTACTCCTTTTTCTTTATTTTATTCTTTAACTTTCAAATTTAATATATTTTTGTGTAATTTTCATACCTAATGGTGTAATCCAGAATATTGGTTTATAAAATTTATTTAATACATCAACTATCTCATTGAAATAGTTTAATAATTTAGATAATTCTAGATTTAATTTAAATAATATTACTCAGGTTTAATTTTTTTTTATTCAAAAGATAATAATATTATACTATTATTACTGTTTTCTACATAATTTATATATTTAATTTAAAAATTAAAGATTAGTTTAATAATTAAAATAAAATCAAATTGACGAGCATAATGTGCATATATATCTATTGATTAAATTTTATATTGTGAAAAATTGAAATAAAATAAAAAATTAATACCTTCATTAATACAATTATCACCATATAATGATATATAACCAAAAAAAGATAAATATTAACCTATTATATAAAGAATTCCTACACTCTTTTCATTATAATATGTTTCAGTTATAAAATGATATATTCATTTAGAACATGTAATATATTTCCAATCTAATTGTTCCATCCATTTTTTATTATATATTTTTTTTTCAATTATAATTTTTGAAAAAATTTTTTTAAATGTTACATTGTTAAATAATGTATTACAAAATAGTTTATTAGTAAAAATAATAATAAAATAAGATACAAATATAATTGTTAATATATTAATATCTAATATAAAAAATTTAATAATAATGGATTGTATATCAAAAAATAATGTATCTATGAAAATAGGTTAAAATATAATAAATAATAATGAATTTAAACTTACTAGCATTAATAAATTTGATGAAGAATTTATTTAAACAATAATGATACATTAATCTATAATATTGGAGAATACTTATTAGACATTATATAAAGAATAACTGATTAAATAGTATTTCAAGTTAAAAAAAAATAAAACTGAAGTATACCTACGGATAAATAGATATTTTATTTTTATAATAGAGATTAATTCATTTGATTTTTATGCTAATCAACCATTTATTTATAAACCTTATTACTGTCATAGACCATGGTTATTAGATGAAATAAATAATAAATATAAAGATATATAAGATAAATCAATAAAAAATGTAGGAAAAACTGAATAAAATGATTTACATGTAGATATAATAAATAATCAAGAATTTTAAATAAAGATGTATTGAAATTTATTAATGAAGAATATAATAATGAGAATTGGCCTATAATTGAGAAATAACATTCAAGAACTAATGATTAAAATAAATTAAATTCATTTTAAAATAGAAGATTAATAGAAGAGATTTTTAGATTAAATAATATTTATAATTAAAATTATAATATAATTATGATAGCAAAATTATTCCAAGATGAAAAAATATATTTTTTACATTATTATGATTGGAGAGGTTGAGTATATGTTTTACTGAATTATTTTTATTATCAAGGTAATGATTTAGCTAGAAATTTATTATTATTTTATGAAGAAAATGAAGAAATATAAATGATTCATGGTCGAACCACATATGGATTAAAAAAAAAATCATATAATTATAGAACAAATTTTATAAATGATAATATTGAAAAAATAAAAGCTCCAAGGGGGCGAATTCTCCCTGGGAGAATTCAGCTCCTGCGGGGCTGATACCCGTTCGAATCCTCCCAGGGAGGATTCAGCTGAAAAATTAAATAAAAATAATCTCAGAATTTTGGAAAATAAAATCTCTAATATAGTCATAGCATCAGCTATTACATCATATGCTAGAATTGAAATCGATAAATATAAAAGATTATCTGATGTGAATGTATATTATAGTGACACCAACTCTATTGTCATAAATAAACGACTTCCGAAAGAATATATAGGAAATGAAATAGGAAAAATGAAAAATGTATTATCAGATAATTTATATAGAATTGAAAATGATAAAGATTATTATATAGAAGAGGGAATATTTATTCGAGATAAAGTATATAGTATAAAATTAAAATCAGGTGATATTATTACAAAATTTTCAGGATAAAATA